ACCTTTCCCACCTTCCAGTCGTTCGGAAGCGTACAGGATTCTAATGATTGTGCAAAAATCTTCGACAATATTATAGATGAATACACTTCGGTGTTCTTCAAAAATTTGGGGTTAATGCCATCATCACCTGGAGAAGAGGAAAGCTTCATATTTTGAATTAATTTCATTACGCCTGCCCAGTCAATAACTATTGGATCCATCGGAATAAAATCATAAACCGGAACATCGGGAAACATACATGGCGTGCTGTTAACAAACGACGATGAGAATGCAGAGTTTAAAACAACGCAGCAGTTTTCCCTAGGAACGACCGATTCGCTATCCGTAGCAAGTTCAATTGGTTTCCTTTCACTTCCGCTCACAACGTGCCAAAACTTACGCAGATTAGTTTCCAGTAGCGATGGAAGGGTTTGATTAAAAAAAGTATGTTTGGCGAGAGACAGTGCACGTGCGTACTCATCCTCTGCACAATGATAAGCTGCCCATCTCTCTGGGATCATTGATATCTTGGCTCGTCGAAAAATGCGCTTTTTTTTGTTTGATAACCGTTTTAATGTTGGCGTATACCAAGGTGACTGTGTATTCCTAATTTTACGAAGGGGTATATAACGGCTAGTAAGCTCAGTTACTTTCGATTTAAACATACACCAATTATCTTCCAACGATTGCTCAGAAAATTTTTGAAGAAAATCTGATAAAAATATCTCAAGTTCATTATTAATCCCGGTGTAGTCAGCCCTACTATAGTCTCTAAATACCTTTGAAGCTGCACATTTGCGAGGCGAACTGTTTGGAATATTAAAGTGAATGACGGAATGATCGCTTACACCTGCAAAAACTGAAAGTGATTGTACAAGATCTGGATGGGTAGTGAATACTAGGTCAAGGACAGTGGCACTTGTCGGGGTTGTACGGGTTGGACATTTCACGAGCTGAGTCAAGTTAAAATCCGAGCATGTAGTAAGAAAGGAATTGCACTCAAAAGAGCCGAAGCTTGCTACGGGAAAAGGTGCGTCCCAGGAAACACCAGGGAAATTAAAATCACCAAGAACAAAAATGGGCAATGACGGATACCTTACGTGTAATGTATTCAAAGCATCATATAGATCAGAAGAAAATCCAGAAGGTGAATTAGGGGGCCGATAACAAGCGCAAAAAATTACATCCTTGTGGTTCAGACGAATGCGCACAGAAGTCAATTCTAGAGGCGAGGCAAGCGACACACCAAAAGAAACCAACTCGTCGCAAACCGCTATCAAAACGCCACCCCCAGACCGAGCTCCCCTGTCACATCTGCAGAACCGATACTTCTTTTGGCAATTTAAAATCTCACTATTATCTACTTTTGCGGATAGCCAAGTTTCCGTCAAGAGCACAAGATCAGCAAGACATGTGTCAATTAAAGAAGACAAGGCGTCGCGCTTGTTGATAACGCTCCTGACGTTACAAAGCAAAAAAGAAAAATCACGTACTAAGGAGGCACTGGACATAGTAGGCGAGGGAAGATTACGATCACCACCCCTCGCCGACCGCTAAAGTGGTGTGGGTGCACTGGGCGCACCCTCAGACCTTGGTGATTGTTGCACCAAATTACGGGAGGGTCGTGGTCGAGAGAGCTCCGAGATCTGGTCTAGCTCTTGGTCATAAAAATAACACTTATCATTTACATACAACTTGTTATAAGTAAGTTTAAAGGTGGAACTCTGAGTCTTTCCAAATTCGATTATGTTCCTTCGAGCCAAGCGCGTCGCAGGACAAAAATCTTCGCTAATGCTGATGCAGTTTAACTTTAGCTTGGCTCTGAGCTGCATCACCTGGTCCTTCGTTTTAAAAGACGAAAATTTGACAATCAATGGTCTACATTTGTTTGCAAAAAACTGTCCCAATCTATGAGCACGCTCGACGTCAAATGACAGCGTGTTGGCAGTCAACTCAGCTGAACCCCTGTCGAAGCAGAGCGCTAACGCGTTTTTAACCTTTTCTTCCGCCTGTGACCACGTTTCAGACACACTGTCAGGAATTCCGTAGAAAAGTAGATTGTTTCGTCTAGATTGATCCTCCATTTCATTCAGACGTGAATGCAAGGCGGCATTAACATTCCTCTGATCTCTGCTTTCCCGTCGCAGTGCATCCAGTTCACTCTCCATTGTTCCCGCTTTATTCTCAACAGACGTAAGTCTTTCCCCGATATTTGTAATTTTGTCGTCGATTGTTTTTTGACCCTGTTTTACTTCATCAATGGAACTTTTTAACTCTGTTTGACCCGTCTCAAACCTTTGCGACCGAGAATTCAGTTCGTTCAACAGGTGAAGCATCTGCGTGAACTGGGCCAACTGGTCTGCGCTCATAGGACCAGGATTTGATTCAACGTCGCCACAACAAAGAAGTGACCGAAAAAAAGAAGCGGAAGTCGCAACACAAGACTGCAGGTGGCGTGGGCAGGTCAGCAGCAATAAAAAACGATCGTCCGAACGGAAAGAATAGCAATTGTCAATTTTAAAACGTACGTGAAAAAAAGAAGGAACAACTTATTAGACATCTCGGCCTCGCTGCCGCCAACCTGCCCACTGAAGTAGTTGTCGAGATGGCACGCCTTTATACATGTAGTCGCTCGGTGTCCCACGACACCTGGTAGTCGAAGATGACACTGGCCGTCGTCGAGTCACGGTAGGGTGAGGTGTACTGACTTGTCACCGCGCAACTGCCACGCGTGCAACCGATGGTACCCTCGAAGCAAAGATTAGTTGCTGTCGTATCAGTGGATTTTTCATGAGGCAGCAGCGTGATCTGAACAAAAAGAAGGAACAACTTATTAGACATCTCGGCCTCGCTGCCGCCAACCTGCCCACTGAAGTAGTTGTCGAGATGGCACGCCTTTATACACTCGGACAGCAACGCTGATGTCCCACGTAGTCGCTCGGTGTCCCACGACACCTGGTAGTCGAAGATGACACTGGCCGTCGTCGAGTCACGGTAGGGTGAGGTGTACTGACTTGTCACCGCGCAACTTCCACGCGTGCAATCGATGGTACCCTCGAAGCAAAGATTAGTTGCTGTCGTATCAGTGGATTTTCCATGAGGCAGCAGCGTGATCTGAACAAAAAGAAGGAACAACTTATTAGACATCTCGGCCTCGCTGCCGCCAACCTGCCCACTCCGTATATTTTTTTAAGGAGGTGAAGACATCATAATTAAATAGGAACTTCCATGCTAAAACATGCAGTGCGAAAGGAAGCCAACTACTTTTTTTAATCTAAAAAAAAAAGAGGCTATGCAGCATCGTTCGTACAGTTTTTTCACGCACATTATGTGATGTTTTCTAACGCGAAAGTACCGACGTAGAAACGCTGTGGAGACGACATGAAAAAAAAAAAAAAATTTGAAGTGAACCCAGTTTTGTAGTGAAACGAAAAAACAACAACCAATATTTAACGATTTTTATGGTAAACGCTTCACCTCTAAGTAGAACTTCAACCAAGTAGCGGTTACGCGCTTTCATGCCCATTTCAACGAAATTGGGAGAACGATGTATCGCGTCTTGTGAATACACATGTGGAGCAGCATGTTTATGTTAGAGGCATTCTGTGTAATCGCTGCGCAGTACCTGCCAAAAGAAGATATTATTTGGGCACAGTCTCCGTTTCCGTCTACGTGTGCTACGAATACAGCAACTCTGTTCGTAGAAGAAGCGATGAGGAAATGGCGTGCCCTTGATGATACGATTGTGATTATAAAATACAATTTTTAATGAACCAATAATTGCGACCTGTCCGGTCGCCTGGAACCCCGAAAACTACTATCGTTCTCTGGAAAGTTCATTAGCTAAACCTACACCAGTTCCCGAATCCAACATAGCACTTTTGAATTTTAGCGCTGTAGATAGCCCTGCAAACAGTGTATACTTGTGTGCAAATATTTGTCTGACAGTTTTGCAACGTTGGAAAGCATCAGAATGATTCAGAATCACTGCGGAGTTGCTACTCGGGAAGGTAAGACTGGTATTTGGGAGACGGACCGTGGGCATTTGAGACAGGGGAACTGCCGCGGGACAAACGTGCTACAATCGCATACCCTTCCAAGCTCGTCGCTTGGGCGACCGCGTGCGCCCAAGAAACCTTTCTTTTCTTCTCTTTAGGGGGGGGGGGGGGGGGGGGGGGGGAAGTGGTGAAGCGCTGATAATCTTCCTCCTTTGTGGCTTTTGACAGACGCACAACGAGACTGGCAGAACAAGCGTATGATTCATTTCTTTCGATGGAGGCGTTCTGTCTGTGTATGCGAACATGATTTTTTTTCCCTTTTAGTAGTTAGTGTTTCTTGCCTTGACTCGGGTCCCAGTGGGTGCGTGGTCATTGTATGCCCATTATTTTTTTTTAGTTTATGGTAGTTTTTGCGCTGATGGGGGGGATCCGGACATTTCGGTGTAGGACATTTCGGTGTAGGACGTTTCGGTGCGGACATTTCGGTGCACGGAAATTTCGGTGCACGGATATTTCGGTGTACGGACTTTTCGGTGTACGGTCGCTTCGGTGCACGGAAATTTCGGTGTAAATTTGAAGTTCGGGAAGTTGAACTTACTTGCAGTTATTCGGACATTTTATGTTCACGCATAAAATATAACAGTTGTATTCATTAAGACATAAAGCTTGTCCCAATTCAAACACGGTTGATTCTGCTCGTTATTAAGACATACATACCTTAAACAAGTTAAATTACTTTCCTCTTTCACACTACGAGGATATTTTCCTAGCTAGCAGGTGTATAGCTAAACACAAACTTATTCGCTTGTCTGACTTTATTCCTGATGGAATGCTCTTTCTGGAAAGTAGCTCGAGATTATAGGCCTTCTGAATACTATAGAAACAGGTAAAGATACACATCATAGGTTAGTCGTGGGTTTCATTATCAAGCAAAAGTCCGAAGCCAAATGCATTCAGAAGCAAAATAGTACACAAAATGTAATGTGGACCACTTTTATTTACAAAAGGCACATGGCCCGGGACCTAGAACGACACGTTGTGGGCAACTCCCCTAAGGAAGCGTCGCACATCACTAGCGTCGTATTCTCTAGCAAGTGTCTTTAACCGTTCTGCAGCCTTCGCGTATTTCGAGGCCTGCTTGAAGCGCTGGCCCATCTCGAGTCTTCCAAGCCGGTGAAGTTGCAGGGCGTCTTCTCGTTGTAGCACCTCCAAGAATCTCCAGAGAGTTGTGTGCGAGCACTGAACATGAGCTTGGAAGCTCCGGTGCCAGGCTTCCACTGAGTTCGTGGTCTTGGAGCCGCCCTGGAGAACGGTGTCGTGGTGGTTCCATAGCTTAATTGGAAACTGCGCATCTCTTCTGCCCCGTGCCGTTAGCCGCCCAATAAACACATCCTCGAAGTAGTCGACCACCGGGAGAAGTTCTGCGCGGATGCTGGACGCAAGCTCGGTGAATGCCCCCTCCACGTCGTCCTGGGGTACAATTGCAAGAGCTGGGATCATGCGAGCTTCCAGGTTTATGTCGGGGTCAAAAGCATACAGCTCCTGTAGTCCTTCCGACTGAAGTCTGCGGTAGACACATTGCGACAGGTGAAAAAAACACCCGCGCACGTCGGCGCTTGGGAAGACCGCCCTGAAAGCGTTGATAGCCGCCAGTTCGTAATCCACTGTGACGGTCCTTGGCTCGCAATCTCCCCCACACTCGGCGTTAAGGGTGTTCAGGGCTCGCGTGTACGTCCCACAGTCTTTCCGCGTTAGCAAAATGTATGCCGCAGGCAGGATGGAGCCGCCCACTTCGCAGTGTAGACTGTAAACCTGGTAAAACAACTCAGGCGCAACCTTGAACGTCCCGTCGGCGAACCACTTCTTAGATGTTCGGAGAACATCCACCATCTGCGGGCTGCAGAAGATAAGGAAACGGTCCTGGTCTTGCACACCGGAGTCATGCAACAGGAATCTGGACCTGTCAATCTTCGACGCGTACTGCGCAGGGATGACGACGTCTTCTAAGCGTGAAGGGAGAGGCATCGGCCGTTGCTCCATCGCCCGCGCCCTCCTGCATGCAAAAAAGTTGGAAATATTATTGCTGTCACGTTTCAACTATAGGGCGGTTACTCATTATTATTTTACTATATTTTCAATTTTAAAAATGTTTAGGCTAGCCCGATAATAAACTGGACATCTCCATAGCATATGAGGTGGCATATATTTTGCTAAGGTAGCAAAGATGTTAATTCGTAACATTCGTGTATAACACTTACCTTAATGTTCTCTTAACAGTGTCCTGAGGCGGTAAGTAACTGCAAGCTTCCGGTGTCATCTCGGCCACCAGGCGTCCGACGATGGCTTGATTGGGTTCCTCAGTCGTCCGTGCTCTTTCCTTCATTGATGAGTACGCCAACTTGGCCTCTTGGTCCAGTCGGCTGGGTGCATGGCTGTGTTCGTTGATCAGCATGACAACTTCTTCGTCAATAGTGTGAGCCCTTGCTTTACACTCCAGTTTCCGGCTACATTGCCAGTATGTCTGCGAGGAATAGGCGTTTTTATAAATTATAACTTAGCTAAAGACAGGAAGAGTCGGCGTAACAATCTTCGTACTATTAAAAAAAGATCGCATTTGAATCGCAAACTCAGTGAAAGGCTCACCTTTTCTTTGAAGCAACGTTCCTTCTCATACTCGAAGCCTTCGTGCAGAAGTTTCAGCCCACCGCGGTTACTTCGCAAGTACACAGCCATTTCAGGGAAGTGACGAGTTAGTTTGCACCAACACTGGTTGGCATACGACGAGGCGACACACAAGTGAGTCACCAATAGGGGCGTGTCCTCTAAAACCGGAAGTTCTCCCCCCTCCCTCCGCTTCACATCTGCGGCGTTATGTCCTCTCCTGGACCTTCCTTCCTTTATGATAGAAAGCGAAAAATTAACTGGAAAGGGCAGAAATAACTGGTGACATAAGACCAAATGCAGGGGTGCCCCCCTTTTCGCACCTCACCCGCTGAAGGCGAAACAAAAGAAAACGAATTCCTGCCTTGTTTGTCCGTATTGTCAATTTCTCCATAATTCTTCTAGGAGAGAAAAAAGGTTTGTTGAATGGAACGGCTTTACAAAAGGCAATTCCAGTGATAAGCCTATATCCGGACAAGCTATCTTGGGTTGATTGTTGGACACCGCAGGAGCATAACATAGCAGCCGAACAAAGGGTAGACTTACCTCCTCCCTCCCCTGCCCCTACTCTTCCCGCTCTAAAATAGTGATCTTAAAAAAAAAAAGAAATCGGCATACCCTTTGTATTTTTCGGTTTAGACCAAAAACTACTTATAGCATATAACTAGGATTCCATGCTTTCGGAGTTTAGCTTTCGTCAAATTTTGAGGTTTTTTTGTGTTTTCTTTTCTCAAAAATCTGGCATTTACCGGCGTTTATTTTCGGTAAATACTGAATTCTCAGAAATTACGAGTTTATCGAATTTTATTTCTGGTCAATTTCCAGATCTCCGAAAATGGTGAACAAAATAAAAAGAAGCTATTCACACTTCGACGGATGAAGACAACGAAATTCACTTTTATTGCACGAACTTTACAGCTGGTGCAATCACGGTTGTTAGGAACTCTATCTCAGAGCTTGCTGTAATAGGTGCCGTCATATTTCGTCAGCTATTGTCGCTGATGGCACGCATATTGACGAGATGAGCCTCTTTTGGCAATTATACAAGTTTTGGAAGGGCACTGGTGAGCGCTCTTGGTACCGTTTTATATTAGAACTAATATTTTTTGTGCTTTGACTTCGATATTGGAGTTTTTCAGATAAACCCGAATCAACGAAAATTTTAGCCGGCGAGTGCTTTTCAGAGTTTTTCGGATATATCCGAAAACACGGAGTCCTACCTATAACTACTCCTGGCGGCGGCCCCGTTCTTCGAAGCATCGTGTTGAGCTTCGTCCATGGCTTTGTCCTGAAGCCCGTATAAAGTTTCATCTTTCCGCTAAAGGCGAATCAGACCAACAAAGTCACCTCCTTGTTCGTTTTAACCAACACCGGTTGGTATACGACGAGGCGACACGCAAATATCAGATGCTTATCATATAACATCGAGTTCTCAAAGTGTAAGGTTAAGGTAAGGCAAGTTTCTGGCATTGTTGACCCTTTTCATCACAAGTTCCCCGATCCCGGCTTCCCGAAAGAGGCGCACGGTTATCAACCTTTGTCGGAGGCGATAAGACTAACGTTTATCCCCGTTTCTAAAAAAAGATGGCTGTCTTCAGAACACAAAAAGTTAGAGAAGCAGAAAGGTCCATTGTTCTGTCAACTACAAAGAATGAACCAAAAGGAGGGAAAAGTTTCTTATGAATGCCGAAGCGTTCTCTGTAGCGTTCGAGGAAACAAAGCTGAACAGAGGATGAATTACTTTTTCGTATCAACTTGGGGGCGAAAGATAAATACTACAAGGGCGAGAAAACCAAATCTTGGGTGTCCCTTTTGTGTTCAACGACCATGCACCGAAATATCCATACACCGAAATGTCCATGCACCGAAAAGTCCCTACACCGAAATGTCTTGCACCGAAAAGGCCGCACACCGAGAAGTCCGCACCGAAAGTTCCTACACCGAAATGTCCTACACCGAAATGTCCTAGACCCCTGATGGGGGGTAACAAGCTAGACGAAAAGAAAAAAAAAATTGTGCCTCGACAAAAAAAAATGAAACAAAAAAAGTTGTTGCGATCAGGAGCGTTTTCAAAGCCCGGAGCACCTCGCCTTCGTTCCCGTGACCATGTCGCTCGCTTTCGCGTAGCAGCCCTCAATTCTGAAGGCCACGGTGTTTTTCAGGGAAGGAGGCGATTTTAGGTGCACGCAGTGTTACCAAAGGCGCAGGAATGAAAGCGTAACCCAAGCACTTGAAGAGAAGGGGAAGACGGAGCTCTCTTTTTATCGGGACTCTCTTTTATGGGTCTCCACGTCGCGATTGTCCTACAATATCAACTTTCATTTATTTCTCGCTCGTGGCTTCCAAGTACTGCGCCCAACTTTTGAGATTGGGTATAGTCATAGCTGATTAACACGGTGCATATTCTAACACACAATAGTTTTGCGAAATCAAGGTTTCGCTGAAATGGATAACTCGCACCTACAGTTCGACGCTCAATACCTTTCACGTATTGACTCGCGAGAGATGCTCCCAACACGGCTGAGTCTGGTGGTGTTCCAGACCTAACATCTACATTTTGTTGCCTTACCTGTTACTATTTCGCGCGAAATTTGCGCCATATCAAAATGAAAGCGCATGATGAAAGTGACGCTTGTTTTCCGAAATTTCACGCCAGCTCGTTGTCTTCGCTGGTACCTTGAGCGTTTCCCAGCGATGCAGACCGTTCAACAAGAAAAAAAGTGTACGATGGCATCATTCGATCGTACACTCATTACTTCTATAATACCGAGCCGTCTCGTATCCTTCTGTTTTTTTTTCTCCGCAGGGGGCACCTGTGAAAGCAGGTGTTTGGAGAGTGGCGTCTCCACGGACCCCGAGCTCCGCAGGGGGCGCCTGCACCTTAGGTGCTAGGTGCTTGGTGAGTAGCGTCACCACGGACCCCAGCCACGTGGGCCACCATACCCGCACGCAGGGGGCACCTACTTTTGTAGGTGCTTCGTGAGTGGCGTCACTACGAACCCCGAGCCATGTGGGTTCGCCCACCCACGTCTGGCTGTGCGTGGCTTAACCCGTGTCCGGGGAAAAGGGGACCCTGGTGGTTGAGCTAAGCCTGGGGTATGTTTGGACCCTTCGAGGCCCCCCGGGCGAGGCGATACACCGCTTCGGCCCCTGCTTCTCGTAGACGGGTGTCCTGGCTTGACCCGACCAGGATGATTCAGTCAGTCGCCTCTTCTACCCTCTTCTTCCTTCTTTCACTTTTCCTCTCACCTCTTTTTCTTTTCTTCTACACTCTCTTCCTTCCTTTTTCACCTTCTTAGGCGGCAAGGGCCAACCTTGAGTGGAAACAGGCCCTTTCCCTGCAACCACACTAGGGTATAGTGCCCGGGCAGCACTGGTAGTGTAATTGTGTCAGCCAAGCCTTTCTTGCTATGGCACATTACCTACCCCCTTGTTGGGCTCCGTGGTGGGCGGTGCACCCGGGCACTGAACTTTCCTTCCCATCTCTATGGGTTCTCGCACTAAAACCATCCTCGATCGGCCCCTGAAAAGGGTCCGCACCGAAGTCCAAATTCCAAAAAAGACACCACCAACACCGTCCAGATTTCCAAATTTTTTTATTCTTCACTCCGAAAATGAGAAACAGCTCTCGAAATTATCTCCTTTCCTTGTCGCAAAAACACTCGAGGGTGTTGTCGGTAAGGAATTCAAAGCCAGAAAAATGCCATCCGGTGACCTACTTGTTGAGGTTGAATCAAGCGAGCAGAGTACTGCACTACTAGGTTTAACGTCCATTTCTGGATATAACATCTCTGTCTCTCCCCACCGAACGCTAAACAGCATCCAAGGAGTTATTTCCGAGGATGACCTCCTTGACAGCTCTGAAAGTGAAATCGTCGAAGGCCTATCTGACCAAGGTGTCACAGCTGCAAGACGTATCACCATACGTCGTGATGGGAACGAGCTCAAGACAAAACATATTGTACTCAACTTCCAATCAACCGTCCTTCCTGAAGCTGTGAAAGCTGGCTACCTGCGCTGCAGGGTCGCCTTATGTGCCAAACCCCCGTAGATGTTTCAAGTGCCAGAGATTTGGCCATGGCACTCAGAGCTGCCGTGGAAAGGCCACCTGTGCGAAGTGTAGCAAGACCGACCATGAAGCCGATGCATGTACTAACAACCCACGCTGTGTAAACTGCTCAGAAGCTCACCCAGCATATTCCAGATCATGTAAGACATGGAAAAACGAGAAAGAGATCCTCACTTTGAAAGTTAAGGAAAACCTCTTTTCCTGAAGCACGCCGT